TGAGCGGCTGTGAGTCAGGTAGTTGGTCGTGTCCTGCCAGCCCTACAGTGAGGTTCATACCTGAACCCGCTCAGCTCTGTTAACTCTCAGCATTCTTTGCTTAACGCTGGAATTGTGGCTGTGCCGTGAGGATTTAGTGAGCCGACTATAACCAGGCTTACCTGCTATCGATCGCCTATGCGAATTAATGTAACCTAAACTACGTGTAGTAATGCTGTGCAATAGTGAATAGAATTGAACGTCTCTTATAATAGTCATTTTAGTCGGAATTTGTGCTTTCCCTTTACCATGTTTTACTGATTACTGCAAAGTGAATCAATAAACTATTTTAAGTATGCTTTGTCGTGATTATTCCATGGCCACTGAACCGGCTTTAACTATGACTGGAAGAGTTGAACGGCATTGTAGGTTAGAATTTAGATGAATGAACACAGTTGACTGGAAATTATTCATATATTGTCCTGGCCTATGAGCGGTGAGCATTCGATCCTGATAGTGAATTACAAGCCTAACGTTCAGATTGACTTCTAGTATCTCTGGCCGGTGACACTAGTAACAAGCTGAGGTTGACAACATTACACCGAAATCTTTCGTACAGTTTTATTCTATAATTTTTGTTATGTATGTATCATGCTGTTTTTTAAACAATATTTAATACCATTAAGTAAAATCTAAAGGCTTTATCTATAAATGTAGCGGTAGCGCTGTAGCGGCAAAACCTGGTATCGGTACTTAAATATGTCGCGGGCGCTACCGCTACCGCTGCAATTGCTTAAATGTAGCACCGCTACCGCTACCGCTACTGAAAATGTAGCGGCCCCTACATGTAGCTCGCTACTGCCCACCTCTGGATACAGACTCGCTCTGCTATGACATTCGAACCGATGGCCTACATCGGTAGGCCATCGGTTCGAAATGGCACTGAATCGGTTCAAATTGCACTGAATGGTGACGATGATATAAGACATATATTAGCAGACGGGGTTAATACGCTAGAATTAATCCACTGTAATGCAAGGTGATAGAAGTCTTTATAAAATAATCGAATAAAAATGATAGTCTACAATAAAAGACATTAATAAGCTATCCTGAGCTGCCATCAACCAAAAATAATGAATATTTGAACCAGCTGAAAGCATTTCTTCGTAAAGAAAAACTGGGAGTGTCTTTTTTATTACCATGTTAAGGAAATTACCACTGCCAGAAATGTACTTAGAATTACCCTTCAACATCAAATCTGAGCAAGTTCCCAACGGTTCTTTCAATGATAAGCATACCTACTCCTTCTGATGCCCTGGCGGGAACAGAACCCTACTCGATCCTTGTCCCTACTCCTTCTGTTGCCTGGGGTTATAAGGGAGTTAATTCATTGGATAGAGCTTGTATAGAGACTAGAGAGCATGATATATTTTATAGTACGCACTGAAAAAGTGCGTACCATAAAATAAATAATCTTGTAGCTTCACGAGTTCGGGAAAGCCTTTAGGCATTTGAAGTTTTACTTTATTAAAACGACTAGTTTTAACGTTATTTGGAACCGGAATTAATAGTACACCCATATCACATCTAAGAGGTCCTCCAGGTATTGGCTTTCAGTATCTTGAAGCTGAAAAAAATTTTTAGCTGAATAATCGGAGACTTGCAAATATCTCATATCCAATTGAGGATAAGGATGCCTTATGCAAGAGTTATGTTGATGAGGAGGTCGTAAAAGTCTCAGATGTTCATGTAAAGGATTCAGAAATGGCCAATAAAAAATAGATGTAGTGAGGGAAGGTGCCATGGTGCAAATCAACTTTCTCGAGAAAGAAATGTCTGCTGTAAAATCAATAGTAGAAACTCTTGATGGAAAAGTAACTCAGGATATGACAGATCTTGACAAAAAGTAACTCAAGAAATTATTGAAGTAAAAACAAAATTGGAAAATCTTGCTGTGAAATTAACTCAAGAAATGACTGAAGTAAGATCGAAATTGCGAAAAATAGATGAATTACTTGAAATCACTAATGAAAAACTATCCTCATGAGCAGGAATTCAAGTTGAATTAAAGGCGTATATTGATGGTGTTAAAACACGGGCAGATGACAACATGATGGAAGTAAAGTAAAGACCCGTAGATTTCGACTTCTTGGGGTATGTTTCTCGGTGTTGTGCCAATGATAGAGCACTGAAGAGGGTGCCCCGGGGAGCTGTGGTCTGCGCAGCAGATGCTCTGCAGAAACTGCTGGAGGCGGCGATAAGTGAAGACAGTACTCCATTAGCGTGGGGTAGGTTGCTGTCATTTGGGTGGATCGCGCTGCGGCAGCCGGAGAGCAGCGGTTCGTCTCACTCACTAATTAGACTGACTATTTCTATTGCATGTAGAGGGTTGGCATTGGCTTTTGGGCTGATTTAAGAGTCAAATTTTTGGGCTACGGCAGCGCTCCCAAGGAAATTACCACTGCCAGAAATGTACTTAAAATTACCCTTCAGCATCCAATCTGAGCAAGTTCCCAACGGTTCTTTCAATGATAAGCATACCTACTGCTTCTGTTGCCCTGGCGGGAACAGATCCCTACTCCTTCTGTTGCCTGGGGTTATAAGGGAGTTAATTCATTGAATAGAGCTTGTATAGAGACTAGAGAGCATGATATATTTTATAGTACGCACTGAAAAAGTGCGTACCAAGGACTACTACACACAGGACATGCATAGCCTATTTCCAGCCTCTGCTAGCAGAGGCGATCGCCTACACTATGAAAATGCTGGTGTTTTAGTGGCATCAACAAATGATATGCCCATAATTGTTTCATACAATAGTATTACAATGTGTGTAGTAGTCCTTGGTCAGAACCATAGACTTTTTGCCAGTTTTGAAGTTCAAAATTTTGTACTAAGCAAAGTAGGTACCATTTTCCTGCCTTCATACACTGATAAAAAAAATATTTAAATGGNGAACCGGAATTAATAGTACACCCATATCACATCTAAGTGGTCCTCCAGGTATTGGCTTTCAGTACCTTGAAGCTGAAAAAAATTTTTAGCTGAATAATCGGAGACTTGCAAATATCTCATATCCAATTGAGGATAAGGATGCCTTATGCAAGAGTTATGTTGATGAGGAGGTCGTAAAAGTCTCAGATGTTCATGTAAAGGATTCAGAAATGGCCAATAAAAAATAGATGTAGTGAGGGAAGGTGCCATGGTGCAAATCAACTTTCTCGAGAAAGAAATGCCTGCTGTAAAATCAATAGTAGAAACTCTTGATGGAAAAGTAACTCAGGAAATGACAGATCTTGACAAAAAAGTAACTCAATAAATTCTTGGAGTAAAAACAAAATTGGAAAATCTTGCTGTGAAATTAACTCAAGAAATGACTGAAGTAAGATCGAAATTGCGAAAATAGATGAATTACTTGAAATCACTGATGAAAAACTATCCTCATGAGCAGGAATTCAAATTGAATTAAAGGCGTATATTGATGGTGTTAAAACACGGGCAGATGACAACATGATGGAAGTAAAGTAAAGGTAATAGAGGGTAATTCATTTACACGCTATTGTCATTCGAGGCAGCCTGTGAGGAGAAAAATAGCTATATGAAATTTCTAATAAAAATGGAAGACGCAATGACAGATGTCCAAAGAGAGGTGATGTTCAATTCTGGGAATATTAATCAGCTGCGGATTGATGTTGATAATATTCGCCATGACATTTCGTCATCTTTCCACTGCAATAAATCAGATTATAATTCAAATGAATATATTAGAACAAGCATCGAAAAGGATTTTAGAAATAAAACTCTAAAAATGCTCTATAAGTGGAAAGACGATAATAAGAACAAACAGAAGAACTATTTTGTATTTCCTTCTCCAAGATTGAGGTGCCTCCTAATAGGAAGCTCGAACTGCGGAAGAACGTCATTGCTACTGAAGTTGCCATCGGAGAACTTTATTGATTTCAACAATCTTTTCCTGTATAACAAGTCAACTCATTAGCCCGAGTATAAGTTGTTGAAGAACGCTTTCGGTAAGGGATATTATAAATATGAAATCATCGATTTATTTTCTGACGGCAATGGCAATATTGATCAGTAGCTCGAAAACCTACCTAAAAAGCATTAACAAAAATGTGCAGTCGAATATTTTGAGATACTATTTCTGTACCTGATCCCAGTGATATAGATCCAAGGAAGAAGAATTTGTTCATTTTTTATATTGCTACGGAAAAGAATCAAAATCCTGCTGATAGTTTTTTCACCAGTGGAATATATAATAACTGTAGTTCAATTTATTTATCCCAAAACTATCACATATTACCAAGACAAACCATTAGAACAAATTCAAATTTATTCATTCTATTCGAGTTACCTTTCATCGATATGAAGAATATTCATAGTGATTGCATCGCTTGAGATATGCCCTTTGCCGAGTTTCAAGAACTGTGTAATGAAAAGTATTAAGTACCGTATAGCTTTGTGTTCATTAATAAAGATGAGCATCCCAGTTCTGGAAATTTTTAAAAAAGTTCAATTATACATCCCACAGAAGTATTTTTCCGACAGCCGCTCTAGGTTAAGCCCCGAGTTCTCGGTTAAAAAGTGCTCGGCCAATCGGGGTAAATGGTAATAATGCATGATTTTGATGGTCAAGTTTCAGAGTAAGATTGTGGGCAAATGCTTAGGTTTTTTATCGAAAGACAGAGCTCGAATTTTTGAGGGTCAAGATTCTAAATAAAATTGTTGGTAAATGACCAGGTTTTATTCGGGGGCAATTGGTAAATTTTGCTGGTCAAGATTCAAAATGAGATTGTGAGTAAGTGGTCGGTAACCTGTTAAGCTGTTTAGACATTGCGATAGGCTCTCTATTTATACTGCATACATTGTTGGCAAAGATCCTGATGGTTTAGCCAGGATCATTGGACGAATCCGAATAAAAATACTGCTACTTACTGAGAAAAGTAAAATGTACAGATAACTCATTTTATCCTAGCAAAATGCCATTCGATACACAGTGTTGGCCGCATAATGGCAAACCAAACATAAAATGCTCATTGTTCGTAAGAAATATTGAGAACAGTTATACGTTAAAATTTGCTTGGATCATAATTGCAGGCTTCCAAGCATTGCCAGACACTGCCATAAAGCTTCAAAATTCAAACTATGAACCACTTTTTTGCCTTCAGTTATGGTATCATGGGTGGAATTTCAGGCGATTGGCCCCCTTTGCAAGCCAGCGCCGAAGTAAATGAATTATTTCTGTATGGTAATGCTATGCTTTTTCTTTAGAATCTCAAATAAGAGTTAGAAGATAGCTGAAGTTCCTGAAATTGGGTGTTCAAGGCTTATATCAGTAGGAATCGCACGTCACAGACGCGTACATTGGCGTGGCAACATAACAGATTTAAGCAACATTTTTAAGCAACATAACAGATTAGCCTGATTAATGAAAAGAATGACCTTGAATTTATAATGGTAGGCAATGATGACTCACGTTAATCTCTTGTTCGATAGGCACCGATTCAGTGAATCGCTCTTTGATGATTTCTTCCCCCGCGAGCCCCGGTGGCAGTCCCAGATTGAGGCGCGGTAGCACTCCCCGATCATGCGCTGAGCGGTCGTGCTCCCCCAGCTTCACCACCATCGTGAGGTTGCGGCTGAACGCAGCAGTCAGTTAAGGATTGCCGAGTAAACTCGTATAAATTTTATGGCCGTAGGTTAATTGCGACTTCGTTTTATTGAAACAATCGAGTGCCAGGCTATTAATTCCGAATATTACCGAAAAAAAAATTCTTGTGTAGTATTTTTCGTAAAAACAAAGAAATAGAACTATTGAATGCATCCAAGCATAACGTCGATGTTAGTAGAGCTAGTCGCATACTTAGAGATAGGTTTTGGCATTATTTTCAATTGCAAGCATATGTTTTATTGCATAATTTGTTCCATTCAAAGTGACTGAAGGAAATTATCAGATATAAGATTATTCGAATTGTTGGTCACGCATGCAAAACGTGCGTTCAGAGCAGTACCTATATATGCAAGCCGGTTGTTGGCGATTAAATCTGAATGAATTATAAAATTCAAATAATATATGCTTATGTCCACTTTAAGGCACAATCCTGGGTCAGCGATGCGGCAGTGAGGACTCGTCAGCAATAACTGCCACTCACCTGATGCAGTGAGCGGCAGTGAGCACGAAGAAGGGCGTGATGAGCGACCCACCGCAATTCCAATCCGGTTCTCCCTCCACCCACCAGCCCACCGACACCTGTGGCACACCAACAGTACTAATTCAGTCACTAATTCAGTTGCTAACGAACGGACCGATGAAAACGAGTCATGTATGTCTACATCTTGCTACAGTCCGTAGTGTACTGTGTTGTAGTTACAAATACCTGTGGATTGGAGATTTTGCATGATGAAACACATATAGACTCTGTGGAGAGAGACTAAAGAATACTTTCTCATTGCCAATTTCACCAACCGAGAAACGAAGAGCAATTTAAACACTGCTATTTTTGCAGATTCTGCTTAAATGTCTATAAATTTCTTGGAAGCCTTAACAATTACCTTTCCGCATCTATACCACGATGAAGTACACTACACTCTGGTCCTATAGGAGTAGACAATAGATCCCAACTTTACACGACGAACAACACTACACTCAGATCCCAACAGTCGACAAGAGGTCCCAAGTTTACACTACGAAGAACACTACACTCAGGTCCCAACAGTCGACAAGAGGTCCGAAGTATACCCGACGAAGAACACTACATTCAGATCCCAACAGTCGACAAGAGGTCCCAAGTATACACAACGAAGAACACTAAACTCGGTTCCCAACAGTCTACAAGAGGTCCCAAGTATAAACTACGAAGAACACTACACTCGGTTCCCAACAGTCGACAAGAGGTCCCAAGTATACACGACGAAGAACACTACACTCTGATCCCAACAATCGACAAGAGGTCCGAAGTATACGCGATGAAGAACATTACACTCGGATCCCGACAGTTGACACGAGGTCCCATGTATATACGATGAAGAACACAACAGTCGGGTCCCAATAGTCAACAAGAGATCCCAATTACACGACGCTCGGGTTCCAAAAGTCGACAAGAGGTCCCAAAAATGCTCGATGAACACTAAACTCGGATTCCAACAGTCTATAAATATTCTTAAGTATGGAATGTGTAGCCACCACAACTTTCTACATGACTCACAATGTGAGGGAACTCCCCCAGCAAGGCCTCCTGCCCGCCGTGTATGAGAGGCCGTGAAGTGATGCACGAGACGTTTAATTCCTGTGAGGCGGCGGTACTCCAGTATTGCGTCCACTTTGAGCACACTGCCAGCATACAAATGTTATTATACTAATATTAAATAAACCGACATAAATTATATAAATTTGCTTGAATCGCGAGTTAACCAAGAATTTTAAAACCTAAGAAAATTCCAAGAAAGCTAAAAAACATTACATTTTGTTACTTCAACATTTATCCATATGTAAGGCGTTCATAATAATAAAATATGGATTATACTTTTTAACTCACATGATAAATAACTCACATGCCTTTTCCGACAAATTTGGAAAGCATACATTGAGTTTAAATCACGCGATTCCCAAGTTAACTACGTAGACACACGCCCTAGTTTCATTGAGACCTCATCATAATAAAAATTTAAACTCATGTTTTTCATGAGCGCTTTGAAGCAAGCTCATGGAAAGTTCTCGACAATGACTGCAGAATGAATAATATAAGGATGAGGAATTTATTTTAGGATGAAAAATTTATCATTTAAATCATTCATCATTGCTGTGAGAGATCCTCACTTTGCATGGCGATGATCTCGGGCCTCCGGCAGCAGACGTGCACGGCCGCGGCAGAGGAAGTCTTGCATAAGGTCACGGCTCCGTTGTGTCGGGCCACGCCCCCCGTCCTCATACAGGCATTCAGCTCTTCGCAGCGGCCAACCGCACCGTCCGCAAACACGCACTCCGGACCCAGGTTCCCATCCGCCCGAACCACTGCGAGTCGAGGGCTCATACAATCTCTGGTTAGAGATACTTACCTCACCCGCACTTTTGTAGTCTTACAGCATCCAAACAATGTCCTATTGTCTATACAGGGTCTGCCATATTTATGGCAACGCATGTTTTTTGTTATTTCTCAGTGAAACAAACAGGTGCATTGTTGTTTTATTGGATGAGCTAGTAGCCAAGAATTACCTAAACAATTCTCAGATATATTTATTCAATATGACCACCCTTATTTTTAATGACGGCTCCCAATCTACGCAGGAAAGCTTCACAGGAGACACGCAGCATTTCTTGAGGGATCAAGTCCCATTCTCGTGTCAATTTAGACTTCAAACTATCCAAAGAATCATGAGGTGTTCTGCAGACCCTACTCTCTAAAATAACCCAGTCAGAAAAGTCGAGAGGATTCAAATCAGGGCTTCTTGAGGGCCATTCATTTATGCTAATGAATGCTGGAATGTGACCCTGAATCCAGTTTTGGGTCATGTTTGAGCCATGTGATGGGGCAGAGTCTTGTTGAAAACTCCATGAGCCGTTGAAGTGTTTACGGGCCCAAGGTAACAACACAGATTCCAAAATGTCTGAAATGTATATATCGTTGACTGTTCAATTTCACTCCTGAGGGGACAAAAACGAGTGGAGACCTCCTAGTGGCGGTTACCGCGTCCCAAACCATCACGGACATGGGAGTTTGACGTCATGTTGTTGTTCTGGTTGCCACAGATCCATCCCGACTCCAAACTCTATCATTTTTACGGTTAACGCTTTGTTCAATGTCCAATTTTTTCTCGTCACTGAACACCAAGTTGGGCAGTGTGCCATCCTCAATGAGATCCAGAATATCCTGGCATCTTTCGAGCCTCATTCGTTCATGACGGTCTGTTGGTTCATGCCTTGTTTGCATCTTGCAAGGGGAGGTTTTGAGGTCATCTTTGAGGACTACGCATTGATGTCTGACTGACTCATGCTTCTGCAGCCAATTCTGCAGCTGAGCGACGAGGGTTTCTCCTCAACTTCTCCCTCGTGTTTTTGATCAATTGTTTTGTTCGGAAACTTCGTTTCCTTCCTTGACCAGGTCGATTGCATGTTTCACCAGTTTCCTTGAATTTTTTTACCACCTTCCCCATAGTTTCACGACGAATTTTGAGCTTTTTTGCAATAACTGAATTACTCTCGCCCTTTTCATGAAGGGTTACAATTGCATTTCTATCAACTGCCATAAGTAATAGTAAATTTAGACATCTTAGACTTCTGCAATATAAAATAGACGAATTAATAGATGATATCAAGCTTAATTAGGAAAGAAAAGCCTCCTAGATACCAATTATTTTATATAGCAAACATCCGTTGCCATGAATATGGCGGACCCTGTATAAAATGTAAAGATTAATATTTAGATTTTGACAAAGATTATGCATATTGTGATATTGTCACTCTGCTCTGCGCTTATCGTCATATTCTGAGTTATATAGCACACTGCATGTCACAACACTGGCTGCACACTCAGCCTCACAATACCTGTTGCACAATCTGCGTCACAACATCTGCAACAGCACCCACCTGCCACCAAGCGGTGCCACTGCTCATCAACAGCCCCAGCACCCACCTGCCACCAAGCGGTGCCACTGCTCATCAACAGCCCCAGCACCCACCTGCCACTGCTCATCAACAGCCCCAGCACCCACCTGTCGCCCCAGCGTTGCCACTGCCCACCACCAGGCCGAGTATCACACAGAAGACGCGCCAAGCTGCCATGGCGGCACGACCTGATTCGCCGAAGGGCACTCTGCTGTTCACGTCAGTTTAACATGAAAATAAATGAAGTAAGGGTAATAAAACTATCATGAGTCACGAGTGCGAACACATATAACTAGAAAAATGATAAGCGGTGGATTGTTTAGCACAAACCTGAGATTTTAGGGCTCGACGTGAAATTGAAACAGCGTTCGCAGAACAACGTTTTCGTTAACGGGATTTTAGGTTTGCAGTAACGTTTGTGATATGATGTTAAGCAAGGTCACGTTGAATATGGCTGAAAAAATCAGATCAACGCAAACACCTCACATTCTAATAAATTTTTAGTTAATAAATATTATTCTTCAAGGATTTTTAGCGCATTTTCTCATTTATGGAAAAAAGTGCTATTGTGCTCGGCATATCCGTCCGTCTGTCTGTTCGTCCGTGACTTCGCGTTTTCGTCGACGAGAAAATGAGCTCTCTGTCACTCACTGCAGTAAGTACTGAGTTACATTTTTCTAAGAATCAGTCTTTTAGATTTGAAGAAAAATATTCACCCTGGTCGGGAATAGCTATTAAACATTTTAAATTTGATTATGTAGTTTAATCAAATTTTTATTAATTATTAATCGAAGTATAGAAAACACTTAGGATTCAAGACCAAATTCCATCAAGAAGGCGGAACAAAATTTGTAGCATGGTCTTAAAAATTCCCTGTGACCTCGGAGTCGGAACTGATCGTTTGGAGGAACTAAGTGTCTGAAATGGAATGTTCTTGCATTGACCATATTGCAATATTGTAACCTTCTACTACGCATCTGCAAATAGCAAAACACATCACACAGTCATAATTACATGTATTCAGTGACTAGATATGATAGGTAGCCTTTTCCTGATACTTTCTGAATATTTGTACCTTATATATTCTTTGCACTGGATGACATCATGTCACTAGTCACACCACAGCTCACAATGAACTGGTCGCGGCAAGTGGCCGATTTGTTGTGCAATGCAACCCGCACTATCAGCTGCAGCGGACGCCCGCACCAGCCTCAGCGAACCCACGAACAGTAAACGCAAGTGCATCGTTCTATTTACATGGAAAGAATCTTCTTCGTACGAAAATTTGATGAATGTGCCATGCAATCATGGTTCACCCAAGAGGATGAAATTTTCGAGCCATGAAAAACTCGACCAAAGAACATTGTTTTCGAAGGACCAAGTTTAAAACAAATCAAGAACACTGCGAATTAAAATTAAATATTCGGTTGATAGAGAGTACGTTTTGATGCCAACGCACCCATGGTTTGCATAAACGTTCAGGAAACAATCAAAAGTTGGTCTAAATCAAAAGCGAGCATTTAAGGTATCCAAGATTTTGATGCTTTCAAAATGATCCGGTCTGGTAAATAAAATTTCCTGTGCCGTTTCTTGCATAATTCTGCAAAAAAGGTTCTAGCCATTCATCAATTGCCTTGGCATCCTGCCTACAACCATAACAAAGTGTCTTTTCAACTGAAGTAAGTTGAATTTCGAACATAAGAACCTTGTGCCAACGCCCACTCATTCTGTGATGAACGAATTAGGCACAAAACACTACTTTTTTATAGCCCTCTACCACTATCAATCATGGCTTATTTATGTACGATTGAGTCATTCTCCGTGGATATCCTGATTTATTGCAGGGTGACCCAGTGGTGGGCAGGGTGGCCCAGTGGTTAAAGTTCAGAGTACATGATTGGAGCAGAGAGGCGCGGGTTCGATCCCAGCTCTGTGCGCCCGTTTCTGGTCAGAATCGGCGAGGAGGCCGGGCGGTTAAGTAAAAGCGAAAATTGAAGCAGTGAGTTGCGAGTTCGAGCCCGCAACTAGCTGTGGATGTTCTGTGATGTTAAGAATCGGCGACAGGCCCACGGCCTACTAAACGCTGAAACCGCTATTATTATATATTGCAGGTACAGGGTCTCCACTAAACTATTAAAATCACTTGTTTGCTTGAATCGCAGGTTAACCAGGAATTTAAAAGCAAATAAAATACCACAAAAATTCACCATATCTTTATAAGAGAAAACGTTTCGGAGTCCAGCTCCATCGTCAGTTCATAACACAAAATTCTGTTCAGAAAAAGTCCAGTCCTTGAAACACAAATAAATCAATTAGTAAAGTAAAATGCAATGTCAGGGTTCAAAACGGAAAATAAATAAATAAGACATGAAATTAACGATAGTAAACGGCCTATCTATTTACTATTTCGTGAGGAAAGGAGCTAAAAGCGGCATTCAGACTAGGCTTCTGTTTGAATATATACATGGATTCTAAAATTCGTAGATCACTAACACCGGATGCGGAAGCTAGAATTTTGAAATCACTATCAGATACGGAGGCGTTGCACTGCTCGGCATGAACACGTACAGCAGAATGAGGTGGGTGTGCAAGTAGGTTCCCCGTTCTATAACTCCTGCCCTTATGCTCAGCCAGCCTAGTATAGAAATTGCGTGCCATCATACCGACGTACCCTGATGCGCACTGCGCACAACTATAACTGTAAACTAGTGACGATCGCATAGGAACAGGTAGGGTATCCTTATACCTGAAAAAAACGAGCAGATTCTAAAATTGTTAACAGCAACACATGAAGATTTACATCCGGAAGATATTTAGCAAATAAAACTTTTAATTCCTTTGACATAGCCTCAGATGCGGGTCCAAAGTAGGGAAAACAACAGTAAACCACTTTCCTATTGTCACACTTGGGAACGACTGCAGTATATTGCTTGGACATAAACTTTTTAATTTGGGTGAACACCAAGTGCGATGGAAAGCCATTTTGTGAAAAGATATTGCGCAACAATTCAAATTCAGAGTGCATGGCTAGGAAAGTAGAACAAATGCGAAAGCCGCGGTTTATCAATGTTTGGACCCCATTTAACTTGAAACGAAAGGTGCAAAAGCTAAAAAAAGCTGGTGCTTAAGCCGGAAAATGTCGATTTTCTAAAAACAAAAGTTTGGAAACGGCCATTAGATTTAGCAACTTTGCAACCAAGGAAAGACACGCTGTTGTCTGATTCCAGCTCCATGGTAAATTTGGTAGACTTATGTTGGAGATTAAGACAGCCAAAGAAAAGGCTCACATGAGAGGGATGCTTAAAAATCAAAAAGGTATCGTCAACATATCGGTTATAGAAAATTGGCTTAAATTCAAGAGGGCAATTGGCCAACCATGTAGCCTCGTGAAAACACATGAATATATTGGCAAAGGTAGGGCTGAGTGGAAGTCCCATGCCCAAACCGTCAATTTGTCTGTAAAACTTGCCAGCAAACGAAAATTGAGTTTAGCACGGATAATTCAAGAAGAGATTTGAAAAAATTGCGGTTAAACCCATGACAAGGTCATTGACATCTTTAAACAATGAATTGAGACAAATATCGATGGTTTCAGAAAGAGGTATATTAGTAAATAAATTTTCTACATCAAAAGAGGCCATAGTCACATATAAGTGTTATCCACAGTATATTGGTTGGTCGTAAGACAGTTCAAAAGCGGAACCAAAAATTTGGCAAGTTTGAAACTAGGGGTATTATAAGCAGCAAAAATTGGACGGAATTGAAATTTCACACTGAAATCTGGTTTATGAATTTTGGGCAGACCATACAAAATACCCAGGCCAGAGCCAGAAACATGAAGTTGAAAATAAGTTTCAGATGATAGTACAGCGGAATCTTTAAGTTTTCGTATTAAATTATTAATTTTGTCCTCTATCTTCAAAACTATTTTAGCGATTGGCTCAGTAATTTCTTTAAATTTAGAAGGGTCGGTGATCAGATTAGTAAGGCTACTGTTATAACGATTGCGATCAACTATAGTACTACTCCTTTTCTGGCTTTCAAATGATAAGATCCTTATTTTTGGCCAAGTCTTTCAATAAAAGGAAATCAAGCTGCTGAAAAACAGACGAGAAAATTTTGTAAGATTTAAAACCATAAAAATGCCGGTAAGCTAAACTTTGTCAGTTGCCAAGAAATTCCTGACGGTTGGTAATGGAAACATTTTTTATGCTAAGAGCAAGTCTTTCAAAAGCTAAAAAGAACTTATAGAAATCCAATTTAAAAACAGGCAGGCAAAAATCAAGTCCAAAGGCGAGCAAGAACTTGGTTCGAGGTTGCAGGCTGTATGAACTATAGTTGAAAACGACTTTTTTACACGGATGAATTTCATTATGAATACCTAAGTTATCAAGTTTCCTCTGATGGGTCTGGCGGGTAGCTTTCCTGAATGCTTCAGTTAGACGTCTGGCATGTTGACGGATAGCAAATGCATCGAGGATGGAAAATACATGTCCAATTTGTGCTTCACTTAAGGTGCCAAGTAAGGTAAATCTTTACTGGCCTTCTTCTCGGAAGACAATTCCCTGGAAAGGAGCTTGCTCTGCCATGACTTGTAAAATGAAATGAAGATGTACAGGGTGCGGCGTGGGAACTTACTCTTTTAAAAAAATCACAAAGTAAAAAGTATTAAAGATAGCGTTTTAATTCTTTCTTTTTTACAAAGAGCTACATTTAAAGTTTCGTTGGGTTTACTTACAAGTTTAATTCTTGAATATTACATCTTGTAGGTGACCTCCAAGCCACCTTCCTAGGACTAATGGCCGCCACGTGGCGCGCAATTCAAATAAGTAAGTTCCCGCGCCGCACCCTGTATAAAGGCAGCGTTTGAAAAGTCGAAACCTCAGAAACTTAGGAATTACACCGTAAACTATGCACTTCACTTAAAAACTTATGTCCAATGAAGTCTTCTCAGCTTTCCGGAGTAGGTCACAGTATTTTTTAAAACAGCGGTATTCATCTTCACCGTATCTTGATTGTATATAAGTATTAAAATCACTTGTTTGCTTGAATCGCAGGTTAACCAGGAATTTAAAAGCAGTTAAAAACAAACACTTTTTAAATAAGTTTTTAGTGAAGTGCAAAGTTCACGGTGTAATTCCTAAGTTTCTGAGGTTTAGACTTTACAAACGCTGCCTTCATACATCTTCATTTTACAAGTCATGGCAGAGCAAGCTCCTTTCCGGGGAATTATCGTCCAAGAAGAAGGAGATTTAACTAACTTGGTCACCGTAAGTGAAGCACAAATTGGACATTTATTTTCCATCCTCGATGCATTTGCTATCCGTCAACATGCCAGACGTCTAAAGGCCCGTTCACACTAGTGGCAGCGACATGTGATTTGAAGCGTTTGCTGCAGTGCCTCACCGCGCACAGCTGTTCACACTACGTTTGTAAGCGATAGCTCGAGACCGCGCGCTTTGAACAGTAATTGCCACCTAGACCTAAATAAAAAGTTACTATATTCGTACCAATATTATATAATTCTTTCAAATCGCTAAACGGTAATGCATACATTGACAGGAGTAGCTAAAATCACAGAAACTAAACACGTCATGTAAAAGTAACTTACATCATTTGAAATCTGAATGTCTTCATCGAGAGTAGACGTTCACTGACGAAGAGCATCGCTGTCATTGATGAACATCAATGATTCAAAGCATCATAGTTTCGGTTTGTACACTTGGTCAGCACCTGTGCCAGACTTGGTTGATTCTCGTTTCAGCTTAATTTCACGATGGAATTGTGAACGCATCGTATGGATTTTCTTTCGAACTTCAGCAATGGTGACTTCTACACACAAGTTTCTTTTAAGCTCCAACTATTTTTACCATAGCTTGTTCCTTTGCATTTCGATTTTTGTACTCCTTTGACCGAACACTCCATAGGCATTCATTTTCTCTATAAAGATCAATTAGGCTCTCTACTAGAGAGTGACTCCAAACGAGAGTGGTGTTAGTCGACATTTGGTGTGCCGGACCAGCGTACACAATCAACCTTACTACCTAGACCACAGACAGCTATCTACTAACTAAGAATTTAAAAGCAAAGAAT